CTTGGTTAGCCTCAGCAGAGCGGTTACTACTGAACCCCTGGGGCTTCCTGGGTGTGAGTTCCATGGTGCTATCTATGACTTGTGTAAATGTCCTGTATAGCCCCTGGGTTAAAAACTTGGTTGTACTCCTACTAAACAGACGGAGGGGCCAGGCATGAGGTTGTTACAGTCCTCAAAGGAGACTACAAGACTGAGGCGCCTACTGCTGCATCAAGGCAAACTTCCTAGACCACGGCTTTGCAGTCCCGGCCATCCAGCACGCAGAGACAAAAAGTGATAGGCCTATAGGGGTATAGGGGCTTGGGCTGGAAGCCGCACAAGGATGAAGCCAGACGAATATATTTTTCTCAAATATGTTTGTTGTAGGTACACAGGACTGAGTAACAAATAACACAGCCACAGATAACTGACATCCTCATACCTAAACTATAAGCTCCTCTCTATGGATGCTAGGCCTGGACACACGCCCAAGGTCGCCAGAAAAGGAAGAGCTGGCCACCTACCACAGGCCCCGTCTTCCCTGGCCACCTACCACAGGCCCAGCCTTCCCAGGCTCACTTGATCACTTGAGCTGATTCACCTTTTTTTAGTATTAAATGTTTTCATTTATTTTACATACCAACCAAAGTTTTCCCCCCTCTTCTCTCTTCCTGTTCCCTCTCCCCACCTCCCATCTATCCCCACCCCAGTCCTCTCCTCCTCCATTCAGAAAGGGGCAGGGCTTCCATGGGAGTCAACGAAACATGGCATATCAAGTTGACAAGGACCAAACTCTCCCTGCAACAAGGCAGAAGGAGGCTTAGAGAATAGGTTCCCAAAAGCTGAGCTGATTCACTTTTAATGCAACCCTTGGAGTTCCCAGTACAACACTATCCAATGCCCTTCCCTCTCCTTCCTGACACTCCAGAGTGAAACCCAAACAAGAACACAGTGGGTGAGGGAGGAGGCTCAGTGAGTAAAGACTTAGCCACACAAGCACAGGAACCTAAGTTTGAACCCCTTGGACCCACATAAAGCCAAGCTCCATACTGTGGGGCTACAATCCCAGTCTCGTAATCAATCACAACGTTCCTACGACAAGATGGAAGGCAGACAACAGCAAAAGAAGCCTTTCCCTATGTGCACTGGCCCCTGGCAAGCACTGGAGTGTCGAGGCCAGAACCCACTCTCCATAGTAACTGGCACAGACCTGAAAGCTCAGCTTCCCTGTGAGTAAGCCAGTTTCTGTGCATGCGCAGGGTATTTGAGGCCTAGGAGAATGGAGGGCTGTGCATGAATTCCAATGCTGTGACCCTCGCTTTAAAAAGAGGAGATTCCTACATTCATCACAAATCCTTCATTAAAAAATATGCAACAAATTTCCCAATTGCGTTTCAAGGGGAGCGTGTTGATCACACCCAAGTATCTGTAAAACAGGAGATGCAAGCCTCTTTCATGAGGGGAGGTACCCCACGCTGGGGGACTTTGCTATGCTGGTAATAAATGAACAGTGACTTTGGGCAATTTCCTGAGATGTCACCATACAGAGGCACTTTAAGCTTTTCAGGCATAGCCTGGCCCAGGTATCTGACATCATACTGCCCTCCCAACTACAATGGCACAAATAAGTCTTCCGTTTTGCTGCTAACGAAGGAGAGCCGTCATGGCTGCAGGAGTAAGCCTGACTGACACGCTACGTGGCAAAAAAAAAAAATTAGGAAAGGGTTTCTGGAGGGGTTCCCCATCCTTTAATGAGGATAACCAACCTATGTCCAAAAACAGCGCTCCTGGAAAATTAAGTGATAAATACTTAAATGCTACACCGTCAGTCCTGAGATCCTTTCAGAACACTGATTTGGCAGCAGATTTGCGTGGCCACTAACATCCCCTAGTTTCCCATGCGGTCCTCAGCTACCTGGGGCTCAGACTGGGCTTGTGAAGAAGTGAGCTATTCAGTCACTTCAACAGTCTTTAAAAGCCCCTGCCGTCGTGGGCCCAACCTTCCTGATGCTACGACCCTTTCATACAGTTCCCTATGTTGTGGTGACCCCCAAGCATAAAACGATTAGTTGCTATTTCATAACTGCAATTTTACTACTGTTATGAATCATAATATAAGTATCAGACATATGCCTCCTATGAAAGGGTTATTCAAAGGGGTCTCGGCCCACAGGTTGAGAAGCGCTGCTTCAGAGGCTCCTTACCCCCCCCCCCGCCCCAGGGGGGCCTCAGCAGAGGCACTCACCAGCTGTCACCCACTGTTAATGCAATCACCCACTATTATTCCGCCAAAGCTCTTAGACCTGCCTTAAAGTTTACGTTAGGACAAATGATCAACCCATAGACCAGGCTGGGACACTCACTGCTCACTGCCCCCCTCTCTGCCCAAAGACAGTCCTCCTGGTGCTCAGATGACACCTACCAGCAAATGACCATTTTAGGGACAATCTGGGTCCTTGGTGTCTCAACACAGGGCTAAGTCAGCTCTGGGCTTAGATGGGGGGAGGGTGGAAAGGCCTTCCAGAGAAAGTACCTTATGAAGCGAGTCATGTGATCACTAGAAGGCACGTGAACTGCTACAGACTGGAGGGGTCCCTGGCGAGCTGACACTCTAGTTTCCCTGTATTTCTCAGGCAGCTAGGGAGGATGGGTACTCTTCTCCTTGCCTAGGTGGCCCTGTCTAGCCTTGGCTCCCACAGTCCTTCGTCTACGCTCCAGGCCATGACCAAACCACAGTGCACCTGCCACCAGCCCGACTCCACCCGCCTGACCAAAATGTCTTCTACCACGGACTCCCTAAATCTCTTGCTTTCTCCTCAATAACTAATGGTAAAAATGCAATCTGGGGGTTGGAGAGATGGCTTAACAGTTAAGAGCACTGGCTATTCTTCCAGGGAACCCAGGTTCAATCCCCAGCACCCACATGGCAGCTCACAACTGTCTGTAACTCCAGTTCCAGGGGATCTAACACCTTCACACAGACATATACGCAGGCAAAGCACCAATGCACATAAAATAAAAATAAATATTTGTTTTTAAAAAGAATGCAGTCTGTTGCTTTCACAGGGTACACAGAACATTAAACCAGAAAAGGGAAGGTTGGAGAGTTGTTCCCACTGATCCTAGGCCTCTGACACAGAGATTAAAAAGCCCAGGGCCCTATCCTCGGGTCTCCAGGGGCATCTGATGGGTACAAAGAGGTGGAGGCTCAAAGCAGAACAAAGGCCCTTCAGTCTCGATCTCCATAATCAAGGGAAGAAAAAAAAAACAGAGCAAAATACCTAGCACAAGAGCCGCCACAAGTCTGGACTACATTCTCTTCAGAACGAGAGAGAAGCAAATGACGGAATACTGGGGTGAGAGAAGGTAAAGGAGGGGCCGTGCGTGCTGGACTCCTCCGGGCTCCGGGGCAGGGCGGCACTTCAGGCTCACAAACTGTGCAGAAGGGGCCTCTAGGGGCAAACAGGAACTGCTCGGAGGCTCCTACCTGGCCCCGAGCCTCCGGGCGGGGGAGGGGCTCTACAGGGGTCCTGGAATTTGGTCTGCCCTGCTCAAGCCTCCGGTGGACGGTTTAACTTCTCAGCTTTTCTCGCGGCTTTCAAACTTTGATTATTGTTTGTTTGTCTGCCCGTCCCCCGACAGAAGGCACAATAAACCTGAAGAGGCCAGCGGCCACTCACAGGTGAAGGCTTCCAGTGAAGACCACCCCAAACATAGAAACCCTAAGTCACAGGCGATCGTTTCAAGACGCGGCTCTGCTTGCTCAGAAAGGAGAGGTTTCTACTGGGAACACCTGACCCGGAAAACTCGCTTAGTTAAACTGAAAGTGGAGCAGAGAAACAGCCCCTGGAGCCTTCCCTCCTACGGCATGCCAGCTGGAACAGCCACCACAGGGCACCAGGGTGGTACTGCCTTCATCATACAGGTCTCCCTGACATATCACAAGCACGAACCGTTCCTCCAAGTTCGGTGCTGCCGGGTTATCGAAAGCCAGAAAGTGACACACTGGTTTCATACTTGCCAAAGTCTGACCCAGACTGCAGTCAGGAGCAAACCACTGCACACACACAGCCCCAAGATAAACCAAAGGCACGGGGTCACCACGTCCCTAGATTAAAGCGCTTATTTTCTGTCAGCCGTGACGCCCAAGCAGATGCACGGGCGTCCCTAATTTGTGCAAGGCTGAGTCTGCAGAAACCCCGGGGCCTCCGGGAACATAGAAATCAGGTGAGCTTGTTTGTCCACCCAGAAGAGACTAATGGGGTCACTTTCCTTGCCCGTGATCAGTGGGAAGAGCTCTCCAACTTTTACTTTTCTGTTTCGAAACTTTCTTGTTTTTTCTCTGAGCGTTGGCATAATTAATGGAAACTGCCTCGCTCCCTTACTTCCCTGAGTGCCGACCCCCAGTGTGCGCCGCTACTGTGCTGCGCAGCACCGGATCTGCCTGAAGGGTGGCTGTGAGGGCTCGCAGGCTTCGACCTGCAGCGGTGACCGCAGATAAGGCTGGCAGGTCGCCGCGCGGGCCATTAGGAGAAGCAAGGGAAGACAGGGCGGTTTGTGTAAGGAAAGAAACTTAAGCTTTCAAATCTTACTCCGGACACCAACGTGTTAGGCAAGGGCAGCGGGAGGGGCCGAGGGGACAAATGGGACTGGAGAGTGAGGGTAGGAAAAGGTGGTCCCCTGCAGAGGAGTAGAGACCGTTACCTACCTGGGGCCTGGGGAAATGTAGCAATCATTAAGGCACTAAATAGAAGGGACTCCGGGACCCTCCCCCAAACCTCCAGGGAGAAGTAGGGGATCTCCGGGGCGAAAAAGGGACGGGACCGGGATACATTTTAGGAAGCTAGGATGGGTCATCTTCCGCAGGTTCCGCCCCTGAGTAGAGCAAATAGTGTCCCAGTACCCTACGCCACACAGGAAGGAAAGCGTGCTCTGGGCGGCAGTCGATCCAGAGGTGGGGTGCCATGGGGGTCTGGGCGAGGGAGGAGAGTGGAGGGGACCCAACCCAAACCCAGGCTTACCCGGCCGTTGCGGTCAGTCTCTCGTACCTCCTCGGAACTCGGCCCGCGCAGCACTAGCGCCCGCAGCAGCCCCACGTCGTTGGTGCAGGCGGCGCGCAGGAGGGTCGCCGCCTCGGGGACGCCCTCCGGGACGCACTCCGCGCTCTCCGAGCCGCACTCCTCCTCGCCGCCGGGAGGATAGAAGGAATCGTCTGATGCTATGCTGCGGGTGTCCGGCAGACTCGAGAAGTCTTCGTACTCTTCATAGTCCCCTGGGTCGTCCTCTGTCTGCGTTCCCCGGGGTGGCGTCGGCGACTGCGGGGATGACAAGCAGCGCGTCCCGTCGCCCTCCGGCCCGGGCCCAGCCAGCAGCACCATGCTGAAGGCTTAGGCGCGGGCCGGGGGCTAGGGTGCGGGTTAAGGGACCCGGACTCGGGGCGCGCCCCGAGGTCACCGATTCTTGCCCCTTGCGTTCGCAGAAGAGCCAGGGGCCCCTGCGCGCTCCAGCCTGGAGGAAAGCGGCGCCAGGCGGCTGCGCTCCCTAAGCAAAGTCACTGGCGACTGGAGAAAAGCCCCTGGGGTGGGAGGAGCCGCGGGGGCTTTCCCGGCGCTGCCGCCGGGAGGGGTGGAAGCTGAGCGGCGGGCGGGGCGCCTTTCCAGCTGGTGTCCCGAGCTCAGCGGGGGTCCTCTCCTGACCGCGCCACTGCCATCCTGACGCTTTTCCCCGGAGCAAGGAAAGGCACGCGCGGGAGAACACGAAGCTGTAACACGAGAGGCTGAAAGCCAACGTGAGGGTCAGTGGGCGCACCGCCCCTCCCAGGGTGGCTCCCTGGGGACCCCGATGTTGAAGGACGCCAAGAGCTGAGCGGGTTTCCTAGCGTCGGAAAGTACCTGTCCCGGGAGAGCCACCCCCTTCTCACTCTCCAGAGTGTTCTGTAACCAGCCCCGGGGCGGGAGGAGGAGCAATTTCTCCGGCAGCCGCACGACCTGTCACCTCCCGGGCAGCCCGAGCTTTAGGGCCAGTTGCCACCCTGGAGACTTCCTGGACAGGCTCGTGGAGCACCGAAAGACGTCCACTCAGGGGTGGGCGGTGAAGCCGTCCACTTGGGAGGAAACTCCCCCTGGGGGAGAACCTGCCCCAGCGACGATCTTGTCCCAAATAGGAACTGGAGGCTGATTTGGTACGACTAAACCGAAAGGGAGACGGGGTCTACAGACTCTTTGAATAATGCAGAACCCATGCTGTCTGTGGCTGGCTGGTTGGCCTAAAAGAGATCTTGGAGAGATGAAAAGGTGACCAGGACCTCAAGGGAGGACGTCTGGGTGAGGAGGGACAGCACCCCAGGGTCAGAGTTGTGACGGGCTTCACAGGATCTAATGGATCCTGGCAGATCAGAAAGAGAAGGGGTTGATTCCAGGGGCTGCAGCCAAACACTTTGGAAATTGCAACCACTGGCCTCGGATATCGTCAAGTACCAGTAGCACCCGAAGGCCCTTGTGCGTCCGTCCCGGGGGCTGTCTGTCGGGAAGCCTGTGTAAGGATTTGTCACCTGGAGCCCCTCACTTTGAAGAGGAGGAGCTGTGGCCTTGTCCTAGGGGTCATCCCGGCTGTGTCTCACGAGGTGATGAGAAGCCCCTCACTTCTCTCTCACCCACTGCCTCCTAACCTTCATTTCCACCGATCCTGACGACGGGCCCACCAAGTGAACCAGCCTGTGGGAGACCGAAAGGTGAATAAGACTGAGACATGGGGGACAAGACGAAAGGACCCTGGTTGCAGGAGGGCAAGTCCAAGTCCAAGGGCATCGTGGAAAAGCGCATGCATTACGCTCCTGACTGGCACTGTAGGTCGAGAGACGTTTGATCCTCGAGGTCCGAGAGCGGTACCCTGTGCCACCCGCACTGAGCCAGTCACCCTGTGTGGTCAGAGAAGCTGGTGTACTCGTGGCTTTCTTTCCGAACCACCCCACCCCATCACGGTTCAGCTTCTCTGTCTCTGTTACTATCCGCAGCTGCGTAAATTCCCAAAGGAAATTTCCCCTTTCCATGTCGACTTTTGTTACAGGGACTCAGGGGATTTACAAGGGGCAGTTGCCCCTCTCCCTGCCGCAACCCACCGTGTTCTACAGTGGCCTTGCTGGCTTTACTCTCCTCCCTGCTTGGCAGAGTGTTGTTTTTAAAACTCAGAATCCACAATACCACCGCAAGTCCATGGGACCACTCTGGCGGGAGCTTGGGGGGGGGGGCGGTGGCGTTTCTGCGCATGGGAAATATCCCCACCGCACTGCCGCCGGGCGGGGGCGGGGTTACCCTGAAGCCAGCTGCAGTTTATCACTGAAGTGGAGGGGGCTGTTGGTTTTCCACTTCCTTTTTTCTTTCTCGGAAATTTAGGTCCAAATAGTGCTGGGATCGTTTGACGTATAAAGATAAACTAGAACGAGACTAGGGTGTAGCTCAGGGGTAAAGTGCCTGTCTAGCATGCCGGAGGTTATAGGTTTGGTTCCCAGCACTTGCTGGGTGGGAGGAACTAGAAATATAGACAGAGACCCACATTGGAGCACTGGACTGAGCTCCCAAGATCCAAATGAGGTGCAGAAGGAGGGAGAACATGAACAAGGAAGTCAGGACCACAAGGGGTGCAATCACCCACTGAGACGGTGGGACTGATCTAATGGGAGCTCACCAAGGCCAGCTGGACTGGGAGTGATGGAGCATGTGATCAAACAGGACTCTCTGAATGTGGCTGACAATGAGGGCTGACTGAGAAGCCAAGGACAACGGCACTGGGTTTTGATTCTACTGCATGGACTGGCTTTCTGGGAGCCTGGTTTGTTTGGATGCTCACCTTTATAGACCTGAATGGAGGGGGGAGGACCTTGGACTTCCCACAGGGCAGGGAACCCTGACTGCTCTTAGGACTGGAGAGGGATGGGGAGGGAAAAAGGAGGTGGGGAGGAGGTGGAAATTTTTAATAAATAAATAAATTTAAAAGGAGAGAGAGAGTTCTGGTTTTCTTTTACTTGCTGTCCCCCTGTCGTTAAAAGCAGATCCTTGCTCAGCCTGACATTCACTGTGCCTGGAACCCCAGTAAGACGCTGAGGAGAGAACAGTTCGAGGTCATCCTCGGCTACCCGGTAAATGTGAGGCCAGCCTGGACTCCTAAAGACTCAATCTCAAAAAACAATCATGTGTACATGTGTGATATATACACACTCCTTTATCACAAGGGCAATAGATTCTTCATCTTTGAGAAGGTAGAGAAAAGAAACACAAAATCAATATATAGATAGATGAGAGAAAGAGAGAACTTTTATTCATTTCAAAGACAAAATTTATATATTGCATGTACAAAATTCATGTGACAAGGAGGGAACCGCTTACCAAATCTTTAGATAGGCACAGGCTTATTTTAAAATCAGTAACATTGAGTGAAATTGTTTTGAGTTTCAAAGGTGATTTGTCATATCATATATATTATATACATATGGATATGTATATATATGCATGTATTCACTTTGTCTATGTAGTTTAATGATTTGTCTTTACAACTTTGAAGTGTTTTCAGCACTGCCTTAGAAGAGCTCTGTGTCAGGCTTTTCAAACTCAGAGTATGAGGCAGGGGAGGTGACTCAGTAACCGCCTTCGCCTCTAAGCCTAATAACCTGGGTTTAATCCCTGGAACACATGTGCTGCAAGGAGAAAATCAGCTCCAGAAAGTTGTCCTCTGACCTCTACACAAGCATGCACACACACACACACATACACACAAATAAGGAAGTGCATAACTATAGTGTAAAGCCAGGCATGGAGTTGCACACATCCATATAGGAGATGGGGGTAAACAGATGCTGCAAGTCTCAGAAAAGAAAAGGTGGGGGTGGGGAGACGGCTCAGTGGCTCAGCAGATAAGAACTGTACATCTCTAGCAGAGGATCCAAGTTTGGATCCCAGCACCAGTAGTGAGCAGTTCACAACTATTTCACGGGATCTGACACACTCTTCTTGCCTCCATGGGTGCTGCTCTCGTGAGCACAGATTCTCATGTTCACACACACTCCCAAATGGGAAGAAATCTTTAGGGCCCAGAGGTGGCTCACTGACTTCCGCTCTTGCAGAGGACTGGGGTTTGGTTCCTAGTGCCCACAAGGTGTCTTATAACCATCTGTAATTTCAGGTCCAGGGGAGCTAGCATCCTATCATGGCCGCCTCAGGCACCAGGCACACACATGCTGCACATACATGCATGCAGACAAAACGTTCATACATGTATAATAAAAAATTTTTTTAAATAAAAATATCTTTAAAATGGGAGTGTTTATCCCTGGAGATGTTGAGCATGTGCACCCCTATGCTCCCCTTTCCCCCTTTGTTTGCCAGGGGGCAGGAAACCCTAGCAGCAGAGCAAAATGCCCATCCTAAGTTCATAAAATAACATCCGACTGGTTGGTCATGGTGGCACACTCCTGTAGTCCCAGCACTTGGAAGGCTGAGGCAAAAGGCATGCTTGGAGTTCAAGGCCAGCCGGGTCTATGAAATAAGACTATCTCAAAACATTAAAATGGAGAAACAATAATGACCCCCTGTGAGGTCTGGAATTCCCAGCCTTTGAAGTTTTGCTGGGTGGAATTCAGCCTTACCTACAAGGGTTAACTTCGCTATTGTGAGGGTTAAAATATCCCTCCTCCTTGATGGTGAAAGTCACTCTGCGGACCAGAGTAAGCCTTCTCCACGTTGGTGAGATCACGCGACCAGAAAAGCATCCCACCAGAGTCAGTAAGAAGTAATTTTTATGTCATCCTATGGAAGGCAGTTTGACTGGGGCTAAAAGCACATTATGCTGTTGGACAGCCTGGCTCTCCATAGCACTGTGAAGCCGCCAGGACAGTAGGCCTAGTTTCTGCACATCTGTTCCTGGGAGTTTACAGCGTTTGCTTGGCTAAATCCCCTACTCATTTTACGTCTCAGGGAGGACGAGGGGTGAATGACAGGTCTCAGGTTACTGGGGATGACCTTGAACTCACCACCCTCCTTCCTTCTAATCTGAAGGACTGGGTGTACAGGCAAGCAGCACCACACCAACAAACAGCCTACTCTGGACAGTCAAGGTGTTTCTAGCATTCTCCATGGTGTATACAAGTTTGCAGGTATTTCTTTTGAAGAACATTTCATCTCATCTGAAGTGGCTTGGTCTCCTTAAACCCCAACCTGCTTGTTTGTTTGGATTTCATTGTTGTTTTCTTTTTAATTAGTTCTTTAAGAATTTTTGTTTGTTTGTTTATTCGAGACAGGGTTTCTCTGTAGCTTTGGAGCCTGTCCTGGAATTAGCTCTTGTAGACCAGGCTGGTCTTGAACTCACAGAGATCTAGCTGATTCTACTGCCCAAGTGCTGGGATTAAAGGTGTGTGTCACCATCTTCACCAGCTCCTCCCAAATCCATGCCTCCCTTCCCTACGCACTCAACTGTGTATCTTTATTTTTTCCTCATCCATCAAATCCAATTTGTGCTACTCTTTTATTCCTGGATATATGATCTTTCATTGGTGCATGGGCAACTTAGGATGTAGTAAAGAAAACGGACACTCTGGCCAGGCAGTGGTGGCATCCGCCTTCAGTTCCAGCACTCAGGAGGCAGAGACAGGTGGGTCTCCGAGTCTGAGGCCAGCCTGGCCTAAGGAGTGAGTTCCCTGACAGCCAGGGACTGTCCACCCCCCAGCAGTTATCAATCACCAACAGTCCCTCCACGACTTCATGTCCCCCTCTCCTCTCCAGGCTGGGATTTGGTTGGTGTGAAACTGCATGGGGCTTGTGCATGCTGTCGTAATTGCTGAGTTCATGTGTGCAGCTGCCCTGCTCTGTCCAAAGGACAATGTTCCCATGAATTCATTCTCAGCCTCTGGCTCTTCCTGTCTCTGCTTCCAAAAAAGCCTTGGGGGTGGGGGGAGGTGCAGTAGATGTTCTGCTTAGGGTTGAGCATTCTGAAGGCTCTTATTCTCCACACCTTGGCTCTTTGTGGGTCCCCATGTGGCACCATCTACTGAAAACAGAGGCTTCCCTGATGAGGGTTGAGAGGTGCCTGGATCCATAGCTGAAACCATGTCTATTGCTTTCCCCTCGTGCCTCCGACCTGTCTCGCTACAGGTTCTTTACCCAACAGTAATAGTGCCAGGTATAAGTCTCATTTTGTGGGTCATGACTGAAATTCAGTCAGAAAGTGGCTATTTTGTGAAATCAAGTTTTGCCAGGTAGCCTCAGCTTGCTTTGAATTCTTAGCGCTGCTCCCACCCCAGCCTTCAGAACCCTGGAATTTCAGACATGCACCATCAGTCCTAGCTTTACCTCGAGTATTTCGCTCATTGCTACATTTAAAAAGGTAAGTCCAGACTAGGGTACTG